AGAGCTCGCTTTGAATAATGAACAAGTGCGAGAAATTATCGACAATGCTCGAATCTTGCATACACTACAAATGCTTGATAATTACTATAAAAATATAAAGGAAATATAAAAATATATTGCATATCAATTCATTGACTCATGTACAATATACAAATGATGCAAATTTAACTCTCATCTACTTATAATGTATATGAGTATAGACTAGTTACATTATATATGTATGTATTCGACCATCTTCATGTTACATGTTTGCCACATTGCCATTGTGAAAAAACTTTCTCAATTGACATGTCACATAATTGTAATACCCTCTCTGCAAGGGTATAAAAAAGCTTAAGGACGAGGCGGCAGCTTCAGCCAAGTGCCAAGTTAAGTTGACATACAAATTAACGGTTCAATAGAAAGCTATACACACACACATATACACACACTCTCACCCACACACATACGCGCCGTGCTGCCGCACTCAAATGTATCTCAAACGGGGTCTCTCTGGCACTTGGCTTCGGCTTCGGGCTTAAGCTCTGGGCCAAAAATGATGTCGTGCGTGCCCAAACTATGCGCTGTCATTAAATCTAACGAGCTTCTACAGAGTGGGCGTGGCATAGGGCTTGAACGAGCAACTTAGCTCGGGCGCATGCAAAACGTCGGCGTTCTAGCGAACGCTCAACTGAAAATTGAGAATTGAGAAAAGCCAAAATGTTGGCCTGCCAACGTGGCTTTCACTTAAGCTCTGGCATTAGCCGAAGCATTAGCCTGGTCTTAATTACATACATATATCTGTATGTTGGCTGCTTAGTCTTCTTCAACTATTTCGAAGGAAGCCATTATTTATGCCATAATAATAGGCAGGCCAAATTACAGACACAGATTTATGGGCAATCGAAAAGGACAAACATTTAAATTGATTTAAGTTTGGCCATAAAACGATGCGATTCGGCATAAATGAATGGCTCAAATGGCTGTAGATTTGAAGGAAACTTGTTCGAAGATAAGGAAAATAAAAGTTCTTACTTCAACATTCGCTACTTTAGGATCTATACAAAGTCAAGTATAATAAAGTTAAATTTATATAGCCCCACGACACAGTTTGTTGCAAAGCTATAATGCCTTGAGTGTAAGTGTATAGCTGCCTCTGCACTCTGTCAATCCATTCTTTCCTCCTTCTGAAAGTGCTCTAGCGCACCCTGTCAGCCACTCGCTCTTGCTTCATTTTCAATAGTGCTCAAAAGCTTAAGAGCCAATCAGTTCCCAGCGACGCGCGCTGCATTTCTCACTTTCGCTTCACTCTCCAGGGACAACTTGAAAGGAGGTGAGTAAGCTCTATTATACTCTCGCATAACACAAAGTTTATTATAAGAATATGCACAGCTTTGGCTAGACATATTTCAACTTTAATAATTACTTTACTTTAAGAACGATTTCCTTCTCAGTTTATCAAATACCTCTTGCCTTTTAGAGCATTCGTCGCATTACCTGCATACATTAGCGTACATGTTTTCAGAGTGATGCCAAATCGAAGTCAGGCCAAAACAGATGGCTGGAATCAATTAAAGCTGCGCATTACATGCAAAACAACTTAGAGCAAACCGGTAAGCTCTACGTGGCCCGCCCACCTACAAAGTGAAACAGAAACAAATTGGACGAACGAGAAAAAATAAACCTCCATGCGGAGATTAATTTGATTAGCAGGCGGAAATCAACAGACGCAATACAAAGACCAAAAGCTGGCCAAGAGCAAACGCAGGGCCCACACGTAGTGCTTAGTCGAGCACTTACAGACAGAGCATTGATTGGCCGACTGACTGCCTAGCTGATTGATTGATTGATTGATTGATGAAGTGAGCCCTGATTGAAGTTTACGCAAGTGCGCAGTCAAAGTCAATTCCTGTGCTACTCATCGAATTTTTGGCCACGATTGCCTGGTGATAAAGCAAAGATTGTCTTTCAGTCAAGTGGACGATAAGAGGACGACCGATAATACACAGGTGTTACACTGAAAGCAAAAGTTGTCAACCCCAAGCAAAGTTAAGCAACAATTTCAATTGGCTAAATACACGTATACAAATAATAATAGAATCTAAGGTAAAGTGACTCATATTAGGCAACCATGACAAAACATTCTACAGTATGCCAACCTTTTCTCTGAGTGTAACACTCATCGACCTCTGCGAGCCCATAAAATGTGAAAATAATGCCCGCTCAACAGATATTTGTCTTTGATTTGAAAATAGCCTCTCATAAAGCTGCTATCCAAACAAATGGGGCTCAGCAGCACTGGGCTGCTGGTGAATTGCAAATATTTGTGCGCTGATAGCACCTTTCGCACTTTCGGAATTGAAGCACACATTCAATAAATAATTCTGCAAATTGCGTGCGAGCTTTATGAATTCTTGTTTATGGCAGTTGTAAGAGCTTCGGCCAACAAAGGCGATAAGATACTCACGTCTAACAAGTATATATATAAATACTTTTATATGTATAAGGTAACGGAGAGAGAGAAGAGCGGCGCCCAAGGCGGAAGTATTTAATTCAGATCCATCATGAGTCCATTGTGAAATGCTGAAACACACGCGACTCCAATTATATTTGATGTGTTTTTAAGCTCGTTTAAGAAACGAAAAACATAAATTAGCTGTTGGTGTTTAGAATGTTTATAGCGTCGATGTTTCTTTTAAGTATAACCGAAGTTCGCATAATTTTCGCCCTTTTACCCCCTAATTAAATTTATCCACCTCGCATATTTCTTGATTATCGCTAGACATCATAATTTCACATAACTAAATTTTGGTTTATTAGTCTTGAAACAGTCTCTGCGACAGGGCTTTTGCCTCACTTTATCGCAGATATGATGTCAAGCATCAAGAATCTTATCTGATTCATAAATCGACTTATCTTTTTGGGCTTATAAATGTCTCGGAGAAATTCCAAGGCATTGATTCACATGTGTTAACAGACTATCGACCTTCCTAAGTCGCAAAACTGTTGGCAGCTAAATGAGGCTACAATTCGGCAACTTGGCCAATCTCACGTTCGCTCTACAGCTAGTCTTTCGCCATGTCATGACTTGGGCCACACTCACGACACTCACGCTTCTCATATGTGCGGCTGGACACCCACATGCCGTTATGCAAAACTAGCGTTTCGCTCTCAGCTCAGCTCTGCAATGCACTTGACACAGACACCCAAAAAAGAAAAACGAAACCCCCGCACGCCCCTCTCTCAAAAACAAACAAATGCAACGCCCGCTTCAAATTGTCTATGTCAAAAGCTGTCGTTGTCGTTCTTGTTGCGCTTGTCGCTGTTTTATTGAGTGAACCCGGTCCATGCAATTAGCTGGAGGTCGTTTGCTCAGCCAACATGTTGGCTCAATGTGTTAGCCGTTGTTGACGTTGAAGTTGAATTGGGTGCGGAGCGATCCCAGCCGACAGACAGGCGGCGGGTCGACAATGTTTTGGCCACAATTTGTTAAACAAATTGTTATTAAACTATTCAAAGTTCGCCAATTGATTGGCCATTGTGTCAAGTTAATTGCAAATCACTAACAAAAAAGCTCCACAAAAATATATATTTATATAGCAACTGCAACAGGCTTGTTTCTGGACCCTTTTCCAAACTGGTTTCAATTTGATTGACTAGATTTTCTTTTTTCTTTTTTCTTTTCTTCGATGTTGCTTTTGCTTTTGTTTTTGCTTTGGGACAGACTGTCATTCAATTGTCAATATCTGCGCGGCTCGATCGCTGATCGTCACGACTTGCTGCCTTTTGGCTGTCTCGCGCGCACTCGGAAATTGGTTTTGCATTGAACTTCAAATGAAATTTGCGCCAGCCTGGGCCTCGGCCTCGGCCACGGCCATGGGCGTGGCAGCTGGCAGCTGGCAACTGGCGCACGTGGCAGCTGAGAGCTGAGCTTCATAATTCAGAAGAAAGTTGAACTATATATAAAGTGAGCTCAAACTAATTGAGTGGAAAATGCATTTGCCAATGACTTTCAAAAGGTGAGAGTTCTAACGGAGTGTGGATCGGGTGATAGTTTGATTTGATTCTAACGTTTATAAATAGCAGGCTTCTACATAAGACATATGTCGAATCATATATCGAAGCAATCAGAGATTTTGTGGCACTAAATAATTAACAAAATGCTGAAAAAGTTTTTGTGTTGCATTAACCTGCGCACCGGCTGCATCATAATAGCCGTGATCATGATAGTAATGTACGGCTCCACTCTGATAGTCACAACGCTCTTTTTGAGCAAGAAAGTGTCAGGTAAGCGTTCGTCATGTCCTTTAAACATAGACATCTACAGGACCTTCAACTGTCGTCTGTTTAACTCATAGAGGCGTTAGTCAATCCATATCTGGACCGCGAAGTACAGCTTCGTGTGCTCGTAATATCTTCGATTTTAGTAACGAGCGCTATCCTCTTTCTCGTTGGCGTGTTAATTGTAAGGAATATAATCCGTATTGTACTTGCATTCCTGCTTTTATCTGTTGGTATTTGTTATTTGTATCTGTTATTTTGTATCTGTATCTGCTACTGATTGTACGTCAATATCTCTGTAAATATTTACAAGTATCTTGTAATTAAAGCTTCTGTGAATGCAGCTGTGTATCAGTAGCTATGTTGTTTATATAGCCGTTGCTATACATAAATATTTATATTGGTCATGTATAAATATACTGTCCATATCAATAATTGCTATTGCTAAATGTCTGCCATTGTCATTATGTTATTATTTTCGATATGAGTGCAACTTAACATTTCTGACTTTCCATCTGCAGAAAAATATGTTTTTCTTCATTCCCTGGCTCTTTGTCGCTTGTACCCACATCGTTGCTATGTTTGTCACATTCATTTTGTTTATTAGCTTTATGGGACCTCTCCTTCTAATACTTTTGTTGGCATTGTCACTGGGTGAGTAAACGTACTAGATGTCTAATTAAACATAATTTGATCAAATTATTCCTTTCCGTGACAGTTATTTACACATATTTATGGGTTGTTGCTCTATCATATTTTTTTTTACTGATTTACCATTGATGTTTCCAATATTAGTCCGTTATCATATTTTACACAACTTTGCTCAGCATTCAGAGTCAGAATACTTTAGGCAAGTTCAAAATCAGAAGTCTTAAAATTTTCCTATGTTCATCCAAATTGGAAGATGACCACTAAGACCTGTTGCTTCTGCGTGCCCTTGCCCACTTGTAGCTTGGGCATCGGAATATTCTTCATCTGTTTTTTCTTCTGCGAAATGGCTTTCCTCGGTCAAAGAGGCATTTTTATCTGTAAGTGTATCTGATCTTCCCAATACCTATAGCATGTTGATTTCCACACTGTACTTTATAGACTCGAAAGCCGATATTTGGGATTATGTGCAGTCGGGCATTTTAACGGTCGGCATTATCAGCTGCATTATTTTGATCTGTGGGGTTTACAAGGTAAGGCGTGTCTTTTTACCTATAATAGTCGTAAGATATGCGTTACAATAACCGACTAATGTCAGCATAAGCGATGCGCCTTTCTTTTCTGGGTAATCATTTTTGCGATCATTTTCATATTATACATGGCAATGTTCATTATCGATTTGGTCGTTTATAAATATATATTGACGGGCATACTATTGCAACTGGCTATAATAAGTAAGTCGTTCTATTATCTTATTATAATAATGTATTTACCCCTTTATCAGTAATTTTAGCTATTTCTATTATGGTTGTGTACACCAACTACACTCACCTGAAAAACGAAGATCTATAAATTTGTCAGTGATATCTTTCCAAAAATTTTCTACATTTTTATTGAAAATTGTTATTGACATAAAACGCGTATGAAAGACATTTGTTACTCTATTGTATACAGTTGGCTGTTTACATATTGTAGTAGTACTCAGAGCATGAGCATTTTCATTTGAGAAAAGAAACACAGGCGTTAACTGTGTGTATTTACTAAAAGATAATACTTGGATTTTCATCCAAATATTCCAAGTTTATTTCAAAATTAAGCGTCGACCGAGAAAGCCCGAAACGATATAATACACTAATTAGTTCGCAATTCAATTGAATTCACGATGGCTTGTCGCTGCAAGTACTTTATCAAAATACTGAACAAATGCTGCTTCTGCTTCTCGCTGCGCACAGGCACGCTGCTATTGGGCTGCATATTCCTGACCTGGTTCGTCTATCTGTGCCTTGGCAGTGCCTTCATGATGGAGAGCATCTTCCCCAACGAATACCAGCGGGAGACACAAGGTCCCCCGGCAGCACCAAAGACTACCATGGTCTTTTCGTTCTTCGGTATCATTGCATCCGCGATGGTCTGCATGGGTGTGCACAATGTAAGTATACGATTGGGAAGAGACTAGCTATATAAAGGACTAGCTATATAATTCTATTATTTAAATCCGACTTCCACAGAATAATGAGCTGCTATTCGTACCGTTTTTGGTGCTAACTCCGATCTATATTTTTGTTCACATACTGGCCATGATCATCTACAACTTTGTCTGGGTCATTATTGCCCTCTTTATTATCACAATATGTAAGTGCACGATTCGAAGTCCTTCCAAATCATTTAGTACTGATCCTCATTTACTTTACGCAGTTGTATTAATCTACGCATGGATTATAATCTATTCGTACTTCTCGGAACTGCGCTATGCCTACGATGATGAGCTACCCCATACGTATATCTGAAAATTCAATAACTAAATTCTTCCGTTGGTGCGCTTTCCTTTTTGGTATGGTTTCGATGTAATACAAATTAAGCGTGTGAACTTACAGACAGTTAACTATCAGAAGTAAAACAGATAGATAGATAATTGAGTCTAAAATATATATATTGACTAACTGACTGACTGATATACGCTTACATCATACACTGTTACGCTCGGGAATCAATATATTACGAGTACAGCAAGGCTACTGGATGATTCTACTGGCAAATGTACAGAATACTTATTAGGGAAACGCTCGGACTGGGTTTTTAGGGGGTTTTCTTTTAAAACTTTCTATTTACACGACTCTCTGGCTGTCATGCTTGATGCGTCGCATGCGGGTTGATCTGGTTGTCTATATAATATGAGGGGAGCAGCTGAAGTTCGAACTCACCTTTGGTAAAGAGGCCAACACCTGCTGCTTGACATCCCAGACGAGTCGCTCCGATGGGAACTGCAGACACTTGTAGACATTCAGCTCCGGCACATGGATGCGCACCAGTAGCCAGCCATCCCGTGGCTCCGGCGGCGGCTCATCGTCAAACGCACCCGGCCCGGACGTGCTGTCCATGTTGGCCGGGTTCTGTTTGACTTTGGGCGTGGGTGGGTGATACGTCGTAATTTTGACGGCTTTTCGCGTACAGCGTCACAGTGAAAAAAAAAAAAGTTACCTGTGGCTCTAGGCAAGTTGTTTAGATTTTCGTTTTCAAGTTTTGTCAGATTAATTCTATTTGCAGTTCGTTTTTTTCGTTGATATCTCGAAAATGTTATCAATTGAACATTTATTTGATTGAGCTGCCCGTGGCCATTAGCTGAAAATCGTTTTGCGTGGACATTTCCTTATGGCTCTTCCATTCACTTGACAGCTTAACAATTGGAATGTACATCATGCTGAAGAGAGAAGAGAGAGAAGGGAAACTATATAGATAAGAGCATTGTAAATTCATAAAGAAACGTGCCTAATAAAAATCTAGATAAAGTTAGACTGAATTACTTATAGCTGAATGATATATTAGGCATTTACAATTACAGATCGTGGAATGAAATATAATTTTTATACATTTTTATACATTTATTATACGTTAATTTGTACTCTTTTTCTCCAAGTGTAGCCAGTCTTGGAGCTCAGTCTGTATCAGCTGTGAGTGCTTAAGTAACCACACAAGACGTCAAATGCGTTGTCACACAGCATTCGTTTGACGCAAAAAAACTTAATTTGTAAATTGGTTTACTTTTCTCAGCGCTCTCGCTCTCGGCGTCGCTCCCCCGCTCTGGACCAGTCAGGCAGTCTGTCAATCGGTCGCTGTCATTGTGTCAGTCGCACAAACACTTCCCCAAAAGCCCCATAAATTGCCAAGGCGGGCAAAAAGCAGGCACATTCAACATTCAACGCTCAGCATTCGCAGTTGTTGTTGCTGCGGCTGATTACTCTCTGATATTGACATTTTATGGATGCAGCAGTTGCAGTTGCTGCAATTATGCACAAATTAAATTCACACGCTAACCTCAAAAGCAAGAAAAACTGGAAGGCTATTAATTTTTTTTAATGACGCGAAAATGTGTGTCAATGCACTCACAATGTATTAGTAATTGGCCGATACTTTATTAGAAAAGTTGCGGGTGATAAAAGAGTGGCTCAACCGCCATCTTTAACTGGAACGAAAGTCTGCAATCTCTATGAAATGATCTAATTGGTCATATTGGATAATTAATAAAAACGATAAAGAATCATTAGTTAAGTAAAGCATATATGCTAAGCAGAGCATACGAAGTACATTAAAATAAAAGCTAACTGAAATTTATCTTCTTTACAAATCACAACAGCTAAATTATTAGTTCTTGGAACTCTTCAAAATAGAACATTTAATTATCTGCCTCGTAAATCGCTAAATTGCGCCCAAACGCTTCAGATAGTTTCAGTCGACCTATTTCTAGGCTAGAAATAAGTCATGTTCAAGAACCTTCAAGTAGAAAGCAAATTTGAAAGTGAGCCGAGCTATTTTTTAAGTAGTAGGAAACAGAAACAAGCACACACACACACACACAAGCATTTACCTAGTTCAGTCACCCAAAAAAAAAAGAAACAACAGCACGACAGTTGAAAAGATGTCACGGTCAAGAAACTGTGTTTACTTTGCCGAAATACATAAATTAAATATATTTAAACAAGTGGGCTGAAAACAAAAGCCACTCACCTTGGCCACCCACCTGTCAATCAAAATAGCAATACAAAAACCCAAGTGAAAATTATCAATAGCCCAACAATTTGAAAATTTCAGACGCAGCTATCAAACATGGCCAAGGCAACGCCAAAGGCAGAGGCAAAGCCTATGGCGAGGGCAATTGATATGCCTAATGAGCTGGCATTAAGGGGCCGTCACGATCCCCTCCCCTCTCTCGCCCTGATAAACTCATAAGAGTTTCTGGGCGACAAAGTAAACACAACTTTTAATTAGCAGCACTTGTCACATCACGCATTACGCATACGCCACGTGGACTCAAAAGTCGTTCAACTTAATTAAAAAATCAGCCAGCCCAGCGCGGCGATATCTATGCAATAATCTTTTTCTGTGGCACAAGCTTATCAGCTACAGCATTAGATGTGAAGGAAGTTGAAATTCGATTGTGACTCTGAGAGGGGCTATTATTACTGTGGTATTTATTATTAAAAAAAAAAAAAAAAAAAATGTGTATTTAGTGTTTTGCCTTGTCTTTGAATTCGTAATTAAACTTTTTATTCATATATTTATAAAATTTCTAAAATTTATAAATTGATTTAATTTTCCTAAAACACTCCAGCTTAAAAGAAAACTGCAAGCCAGATCTAATTCTAGCTAAAATCGGATTATCATTTATATTTATTTTAGATTTGGCAATAAAATTGCTCCCATTCTAAGGCTAAGCACATGAATATATTGCCCAGCAGCTATGGTTGCAGCAGCATTTAAAGTTTGGCAAAGAAATCCCCTCTCTATCTATCTCTATCTCTCTCTCGCTATCTCTATCTATTTTCGTTTTGTTTCTCTGTCACTGGAAATTGAATTGAATTTCTGAAAAATCTCAGAGCTTAGCGCAAAGTTTAGCGCTGACATTTGCTGCACTTTTTATGGCCAGTCGCTCGCTTTTAATTGGAAAAGTTGCTAACCCCACGTTTGCTTTTCCCATCCACGCCCACCTACCATCGTCCATGCCAGGCCCGACTCCCAACTGTCCAACTTGGCCAATACATTTTTTTAATCACAATTTAAAGTGCGCCGCGCTGATTTATTAATAGCGCAGAGCAGCAACAACTCAATTATCGCAATTATGGTGCGAACTGAAACACCAACAAAACGACCAAGGCAACAACAAATTACAACAAACAGCAACAATTGCACATTATGGCAATTTCCACAACAACTAAGTGCGGTGATTTTTCACTTAAAGCGCATAATTTTGCACAAATCCATTTCGGTTCGGATCCCCTTTGCCACGTTGACTTTGATTGAAAAATTATGTTTGACCTTTGCGCTTTGACATGCGCGCAAATCAAAATTTATGTTTGCTCTGCTTCGCCCATCCGCCGCCCTCATTATTCTCACACTCGCCCACTGGTCACTTCGCCCCAATTGCTTTGCTTGTACCTGACAGCTGTCAGTTAGTTATATTTGTTTCGACCGCCAGGTGGCGCAACAGCCAATTCTCGCCCTCATCCCCCAGCTAAACTGACAGTTATTTGCTCTTCACGCCTGACAAGTCGCTTTCGTGTCGCCTGAGAGGGATTTCCAATTCATGATTTTGTGAAAATGTAAACCCCAAACAAGAAACCCACAAAGTTTTGGAAAAGTGAAGATTGTCCGACTTAGAAATACCGTGCCTAACATTTACTATGAACCTTTTTGAGAGAGACGGTGTATCTGAAACTACTCGTAGAGACATATCGGTTTCTAGCAAATTTGTAAATACATTTCGAACTACTTTTACAACTCTTTTTAACCATCTTCAATAGTTACAGCGTATAAAGCTGAGTCTTGCTGTATCAACCAACTTTGAGCGTGCAAGTCTTACATATCTAAGCCATACTTATGGTACAGACTTTACAACCAAGTTGTAAAAGTTACGGCCAGGTTGTAAAACACGCTAAGCTCTTAAATTTGAGACAACCTCAACGCCCACTTGAGCAGCATCTGAGCTGTGAATGCACTCAAGTGCGCCCGCTTGTCGCACAGTTCAGCTTAAGTATTTGTGACACTTTCTGACAGCCAACGAAATTTGCCAAAAAGTCTGCAGAACAAAGTCTGAAGAGTGCCTTGCCCTGGCCTAATGCCCCCACCCCTCACACACACACACACAATATGCAGCTGCGGCTGTTCAGGGCACTCTCGAAAGACACTCGACTGAAATTATGCCACATCGAATGGATTTTTGTGGAAATTAGTTCCCTGACTGACTAACTGACTAACTGACTGCCTGATAGACTGCTAGACTGATGGAATGACTGATGGCAGCCCAAGGGGTTCAGCCTGATTTCTGGGTCACTGTGCAACACTAAATGTCACGAGAGTGTGTGCCACAGTCAGCAGTCAGCAGTGAGCAGTGAGCAGTGAGCAGTGAGCAGTGAGCAGCGCATGCATATTTTAAATTGCGTACAGCTTTAAAGCAAATTACTTTTGTCATTTTAATGACGATGCTTTAAATGAGGCTGCTGCTGCTGTTGTTGTTGCTGCTGCTGCTGTTGTTGTTGCTGTTGTTGCTGCTGCTGCAGGGGTTGGCCACCAATCTTCTCGGATGTTGCGCATTGTTTGCCTTGGCAACGCGGCACCAAATTGCCAACAAATAACTGCAACAAGGCAGCCACGCCCATCCACCCACGACTTAATAAATGCACAGACGTTTTTGTCGAGGAGCTGCATAGTGGAACAGGCATTGAAAAACTAAGAATCTAATTGAGCTCGGGTTTTGTATTCCATGAAATCTTATAGTATTCAAAGTTAAGTTTAGTCTCCTTTGGAGCTTCGAATGGTAAATTCGTATGCTAAAGCTAAATTCGTATGCTACCTTCATATCAAGCGCTAAAGAAGTTAGCCACCTCTTGTTAAAAGACCATAAACTTCATGCTCCAAGCCGAAGGTCCCGATTGCCACTGCTTAACTATTCTTAAATAAGTTTTTATTTGAGATTAATTATAATTTCAATTGAATAAGTCAACTATATTTACTCTATGGTATACGCAGATATTCCAATATGTTCCACTAAACAGCTCAAGCTTTAGACCTTAGCCTATTGTTTACATCCTCAAACCGAAACTGCTGCAGAGCACTCAAACTTTAAATTTTAGTATGGACTATGCCGTGGCGAAAAATACTTTAAACGCCAGTAGTATAATTTATCACCTGCTGGTTTTGTCATTGCCCCACTGTGCCGTATGCTGCTTTACAAATCGAATCGCCATTTTGTTTATGCGAGCAGTCTGTGGTGCACTGGTGTGTGCACCGGAAACGGAAATGCGCACATAATTCTGTTAGAAAACGTGGCGCTGGCTACTAAGGAGCCGAACGCTATGCTCGCTTCTCATCTGGAATTCGAGCAATGCGCACACTTTAATTAAATAATATTAAATGCAATTTCGCTGTGAGCCTTTCATCCGAACAGCAGCTGGAAACTGGGATTGGATTTTGTGTTGTAAACACAGCAAAACATGTCGCTCAACTTTATGGCAATGTCAAAGTTTCTTGGCTAATTTATTTTACTATTTTTTGTATTTTCATTCAAGGCAGCTGCCAAGGAGAAGAGGAAACAACAACAACAACAGCAGCAGCAGCAGCGCGCAGCAAAACAAATCTAAAGAAATACAAAAAAGAACCCAAAACTTGTTTTCCAGTCACGTTCATTTTCAATCAAGTGGCATCATT